CACCACCCGAGGGGTGAGACGAGGATTTTTTTTTTTTTTTTTTATGACAGGACTGCTTAAAGTGTGTCGTGAGCGATCATGACAGAGAGTCGCAACGCAAAGGAGCTGAGCATTCTTTTCTCTTAGTGTTTTTTTTTTTTTTTTGATGTAATCTTGGGCGGCACGGTAGTCGACCGATGAGCACTTCCACCTCACAGTGCAGAGGTGCAGGGTTCGATCCCTGGCCTATCTGTGTGGACTTGGCATGTCCTCCCTGTGCATGTGTGGGTTTTCTCTGGGTATTCTGGTGCCCTCCCCTCAAAAAAACTTGCATGACACTATGAAAATTGTGTGATTGTGGTTGTTTGTCTCTGTGTGCCCTGCGATTGGCTGGCAGCTAGTTCAGGTTGTACCCTCCCTACTGCCCGAAGATGGCTGGGATAGGCTCTAGCATGCCCACAACCCTCGTTAGGAGCAGAAAATTGATGGATGGATGGATTTAATATCCCATGCACCATGTTTGCTTTTTTTTGTCTTTTGAAAGTGAATTATTTATTTCTGGTCACAGGTCCTTCCTGTCATGTTCCTGTTCTTGGCCTGACCAGCGCTTTATGTTACTACTTTGTCGGTGCGAATTTTTGTGCAAAAATGTTTAACATTTTTTGCTTCGGAGACCTTGTCTGGAGTCTATACTTTTGGGATCCAAAACTTGATTCGGTTAGTCCGAATGGTGACACTTCCCTGCACTTGGATCCGCCTTAAGCCTCCAAACCCACGAAAACCTACGAGAAAAACTAAAAAAAATTGTATTATTGTCAACAATAATTCATGCTATGTCAGTCAACTAAGCTGTGTTTAGACTGTGTTTTACAAATTTAAATTGCACCGCTTGATGTTGTTTTTGTCTGGTAAAGTGCAATGAACGCATAACTCAGTTTTTTTTTTTTTTTTTACTTTTACCCTGTCTGGGCTGTTTTGCTGTCTTTGAGAAGCGGCAGGGATAGGTAGGGGTGCCGATGTTCAGTGTGATTGACCCATCTGCCCAGGGAGACTTTCATGCCAGAGCTGTTATAACATTCATAAAAGTAAAATTCAATACTTATGGCATGACAATATTTGTGTTTGTTAAGAGAGCAACTTCACAAATGAGCTAGCTGCACAACTAGTGCATGCTAATATTTAAGTCAGTTGTCACGTGAGTGTACAGTGTGTGATGTGATACAGTTCTGTTTCCTTAGTTGAATATTTACTGAAACTTATATGATGTTTAGACCAAGGGGTGAGTTTCTATGAGTGTTTCCCACCTATGAAGGAAAATTGAAGGCTTGGCGGGGTGATATCAGGGCAAGAAGGCATGTGGGCCACGATTACTGATTGCTCACAAGTCATTTGTGCTGGCTGGAGCATGAACCGAATGCCCGAAAAAAATAGTTAAACTTTAACTGCTCTGTTCTCCCATGGGTTTCACAGTCTATCCCTATATATAGCAACGCCTAGAGGTTTACTGTCATTGGTATATTCTGTGAAAACATTTCAGGTCCTTACGGTCATTATCAACCATACAAACTATATTTTGGGTCATACATTTTTGCTGTTGCTCTGTTTTAGCAACGCCTTGAGGTTTACTGTCATTTGTATAATCTGTGAAAACATTACAGGTCCTTAGGGTCATTATTAACCATACAAACTATATTTAGGTCATACATTTTCGCTGTTGCTGTTTGTGTTCAAGGGCCAACCAAAAACCTCAAAAGAATGTTTGCTCTCAAAGTTCAAAATAACATTTTATTTGACCATTTCTAGACAAGACCTACATGGGAAATTTGGAGATATTAGCTGATATATGTCTGTACAGTTCAAACAACCAAACGAAAAAACAAATACTCATCAAAGTTCACACATCTTGCAATGTTTTGCAAATTTTTGCAGTATGGAAATGTTTTATTTGAATAGATTAAAGAATACAGAACACTGTCAAGGACATGTTGAGAGTATTTTTCATTCAAAGAGACCATTAACTTCTCAAAGCTCCTGAACACTTTCTTCATTTTACCTACTGATGACACAGTATCAGGAGCAACTGAGGGGTTAGTATCTTGCTCAAGGACACTTCGATATGGTCACAAGGATTGAGGATCAAACTTACAACCTTTGGGGTGGGACAAAACCACTATACTGTTGATGTAGGCCGCCACTGTTCGCACTGTTGTTGTCCTGAGCCCAAAGTATTCACAGTGCTCCACTTTTTCAGGTTACCTTTTCCAGTTTTTTTCTTCCCAAATGTATTCAAACTTAAAGAAAACAAGAAATCATAAATCATATATGGACATGAAAACATTCAGAGCCTTTCCCACAAAGCTCAAAATTGAGTTAAATTGCATCATGTTTCCACTGATCATCCTTGAGAAGCTCCTGCAGCTTAACCAGAATCCACCAGTTGTAAACTCAATTGATTGGACATTATTTGGAACCTTTTTTCCGTCTATTAAAAAGTATAAGGTCCCACGAGAGACAGTGCATGTCAGAGCACAAAGCATGAAGTCAAAGGAATTATCTGTAGACCTCTGAGACAAAATTGTCTTGATTCTTGAGGCAAAAATGTGGGAAAGGGTATAGAAAAATTTGTGCTGTTTTGAAGGATCCAATGAGCATAGTGGCTTCAATCATCTGTAATTAGATGATTTGAACCACCAGGACTCTTCCAAGATCTGGCCACTCAACGAAATTGAGCAATCAGGAGGAGAAGGCCCTAAGTCAGGGAGGAGACCAAGGATCTACTGGTCACCCTTTCAAAACTCCAGCAGTCCTCTGTTAAGCGGTGTTGGAAATGGGTGGGACGTAAAATGTCCTCCAAATCTGGAATGACCCTCAGTGTTGGCCCTGGGAACATGCCAACATCCTGAACATCCAGTAATAAAAAGCACATTTTATTTTTATTTATGCATCGCACTGGCCAGAGTGCAAATGTTTTTGCTCGTTATGACCTCAGATTTTCACTATTCTGCACAATGTTCATCATTAACTGAGTGAATCTCATTACGAAACTAAAGGCTATATACAGTGATATTGCCCCCTGAACAAGGCAGTTATACACGCATAAATTACAATGACAATTTGTCTGTCTTGAAAAGACGTAGTGATTGATAGTGTGTAGTGGTACACTCGTCTGACTTGGTGAGGGCAGCCTCCCACTTGGTGACGGTGTGAATGCGGGTGTGAATGGTTGTCTGTCTCTCTGTGTGCCCTATGACTGATTGGCGACCAGTTCACGGCGTATTCCCCCTTCCGCCCGAACTCAGCTGAGATCGGTCCCCTTAACAACAACAGTGAAAGAACAGACTTTGGTATATATCCAGCTGACAGACCATCTTTGCCCTACAAAATAAAAGCAAAAGTATCACATTCGGGAGGACGGGAGGGGCTACGAAAGTCCTAAACCAATCAGCGCTTTTGTGTTGGCTTCCCATTCTACGAGAAGCAGTACACTTCATCCACGGGTGTCAGTCAGGACGCGCTGTGTCCATCGGTGGCTGTCTCGCGCGAGCGGTTAGAACTACTAACCATAAACACTGTTCGCAAGTCACGATATATCATGAAGAATTTTACAGCTTGTAAAGGTGGCGGCGCAGACCTCTCGCTCTGACATCGATTTTGCCACCGGAAGAGAGTGCTCGCATTGCAAGCGAGCTAGCAAGGGTAGCCATTGCATGCCGTCGTTTTTCCTCCACCGCTGACCTCACAACTACACGCCGTCACAGAGGTGCAGAGAGTATTGGTAGCGGGGCTTCTGTTGGCCCCTCTCTTCAGCCCGGCTCCAGTTGTCTCCCGCGTGGTTGCCCGTTGACGGTTCCCGAATATGAGACATAATGAGTCAAAGAGATACCCTAGTTCATCTGTTTGCAGGAGGGTGAGTAGACTGTGTTCTCATGCCATCTACAGCGAGTGCTATCGCTAGCTCTACGCCATCGTCTGTCGTCGCTTGTCCTTGGAGATCCAAATTAGTTTGACGGTTGTTTTGATGTGCTTCACTTGCCTTGTGGTGTTCTGTTTACCGTATGTCAACTTGCTTCTCTCGGCCATGCATTGTGCATCACGCTAACAGCCAAGTGAAAGCCTAACATTTCAATGACAGTTCAATGTTTCGGTGTTATGTCAGGTTGAAGTGGACGTCTGAGGTAGGGCACCCGAGCAGATCGTTTCAAATCGTACGTAGTCTTCGTGTATGTTTGTTGCGTGTGCAAAAGTGCAAAAAAGTACGTAGCGTAGGTATGCGACTTAAGTAACACGTTACGCCACGGAGTTTTTCTTTCAAAGTGAAACAAACGCCGAATACGATAGTAATGTCGTATTTCTTAAAACTGCCCCATTTCTTAAAAATCAAGGTCATGACTATGGGTTCGTGTGCACTACCGTATTTTACAACCGTGCGTTTTGTTCAATGTCGAGATCATCATAATGTTAGTTGTACTGTACATAGAAATAATTTGCCGATCCTCTGTGAATGTGCTGCTTTCTCTGAGCCTTGTACAGTCAACCACTACCAGAGCAATCCCAAAAACTTTGTTGACAACTCTTATCTTTCGTGTTGAAAATGACCCTGTCACTAAAGATAACCGCACGTTCTCTTTTATGGTATGACCTGACCCAGTCTGTGTTAAATTTGCATTGTATTCCTTTCAGATAAAACAAAACAAAAAAAAAACCAACCTATTTTTCTTTTATGGTCACAAAACATAATTTCCAATTATTAAATCAATTCCATTCCATTTATTAATAGGAGCAAATTACTTAACTTGTATGTCCAAAACTGGTTTTTACATTTGTATCCACGCGCTTTACCTTGTTGCTTAAGCAACCTCATCAAGCTGCGGTGTCAAAATATTTATTATAATCTATCACAAATTCATTACTTATATATTTCACAAATTGAGATTAATATGAACACAACGTACATGTACCAACAAAACATGACCTGAATATAATAATAGTTGCTTCTTCCACACAAAAAGTAGTAAATGAGTAGAAAGGTACCAGTGTATTGAATTTCCAGTCTGTATTTGACTCCATTCTCAAACTTGTCAATGAGAAAAGACAAAAGATATCTGCTGCAGTTGTCACTTTGCTGAATCTATTATACCACCATTTGATTGACTGTGACACTGAATAGAAGCTTGTTGTTATTTCCCCAGCAACACAAAGCATTCTGATTCTCTCGCCTGGGCGAGCCAACATGCTGCAGATTGTTAGAATTCCACCAAGACACTGGTAACATTATGAAACGTAAATGTGTTCTGTGATTGGCGATCATCCAGTCCAGGTTGTACCCAGCCTTTTGCCTAAAGTCAGCTGGGATAGGCTGTCACTAATGAATATTTTTAGTGCAGATTATTCTATAAACGATTTCATCAATGAAGTGAATAACCGGATGAAAACATATTTTAAATGTCAGTAATTTTATTCAGATTACTTTTTATGAATCGGTGATTGTTGTTTATTTGGGATTGTTTAATGATTAAACAAAATGAAATAAAAACAACAATTCAGCAATTTTACATGAGAGGGAGCAATGTTATACTCACCGATTTTGAAATCGAGAGCTATTTCTTTGAGACAGTTTTTTCTTTTTATACCTTGACACATTTTATACCTTTGTGGCTACTCTAGGTTTAGCTACATGTCAATTGCAGGTTATTTATACAATGACTGAAATAACTTATTTTTGTAATAGATTACATTGATATTAATATTCTTCCATAAATTGATCATGTGATTTATTTACTGGTTTGGTCTGCAACATGTCAAAACATAGGCCAACATGTTGTTTTTTCTTTTTATACCTTGACACATTTTATACCTTTGTGGCTACTCTAGGTTTAGCTACATGTCAATTGCAGGTTATTTATACAATGACTGAAATAACTTATTTTTGTAATAGATTACATTGATATTAATATTCTTCCATAAATTGATCATGTGATTTATTTACTGGTTTGGTCTGCAACATGTCAAAACATAGGCCAACATGTTGAGCATTGTTTTCTAAAGTTAAAGCCAGTTTTTTTTGCAAAGGAATGTATGGACAAACAATATACAGTAGGTCTGTTTTTATGAAGGACTACACTACAGTTGAGAGGCTGAAATCGGAGGATTTGACCATTAACGTTAAACATTGTCTCTAAAAGATTATTTGATCAAAATAATTATCAATTAATTGGATGATGGATACATTGTCAGTTAATTTATGAATTTTGACACACGTAGCTGCACCTCAATGCTGACCCGAATGAAGTCCTGCAGAATTGATGCTTGCTATTTCCAAGATCATCTCAATGGTCGCTGAAAAGGGTTACTGTCAAATCTAGCGAGACTACATCTAGTTATAAGCAACAACCTAATTCAAAATCTTTTTCTTTTTTGCTTGTTATTTTTCACCAGATGTGGCGGCACAGTAGGTGCCATATTGACTTGCCCACTGGAAGTAGTGAAGACGCGTCTGCAGTCATCATCCATCAGTCTCTATGTTTCTGAGGTTCAGCTGAGTACCGTGAATGGGGCCAGTGTGGCCCGGATGTCTCCACCAGGTCCCCTGCACTGCCTCAAGTGAGTCCTCAATAATATGTCTGCTGGATGTTGCATTTATGTATGGGTCAATCCATGTGGCGTTGATGAGTTGAGTCAATAATGCACATACTTTCTCTATTCCTGTCTGTCAAGGCTTGACAGACAGAGTTCAACAAGGCCAATAGCACCCTTTTTTGTAAACATTTCAAACTGCGTGTTTGATTTTTGGAATACTGGCCTTGGTGATATAGGAAAATAGCTTCTTTCACAATATGACAAAAAACATGTACCACAATAAAGTATGTTAGCAGTTATTCAATTCAATATTATGTAGCATGCTAGAGCTTTGACTCACATCCAAAATTCGTGTTTGCTGTTTGTTTACCTTTTAGGCCGGGAGTCCCAAATCAACTTAAATGCCTTACTTTTGCCGAAAAAGGCATAGTCCAAAAACTGAAAAAGCCTGTCCAATCTTAATTATAAATGGAGTGTACTTATAAAGCGCTTCATAGACAGCTTAAGTTGTCCATAGCACTTTACTAAGCCTCATATTAACTTTTTTGAAAACGTATTGGAATGTACCCCAATGCGCCAACAAAGCCACGTCAACCTTCAACCTAAAATCAATCCTAAAAAGGTTATCCTTTTTAGCTTAAAGTAACTTACTTTGACCTCCATCATGCCCTGTTTCTGACTGGCCAAATGTCAGAACGCAGGATATTCCTTTGGACCAATTTAAAATCAATCCACTTCCATCCTACCAGCTGCTAGCTAGCTAACCTGGTTAGTTTGGTATTTCGCCTACTGTGCTTGGACGGCATGAGAGGCCAACAGGTAAAAGTTTTATTTAATCTTCATTTGAACTCTTTCACACTCAACGTACACTCTCCACAAAAAACAAAAAAACAAAAAACAAACCAAAAAAAAAACGATCATTATATAGGCAATTTTATATCAAAATAACGATCCCACAATATATTTGTGGTCTAGATATCGTATTTTTTTTCTACCAAATAACATACAACATAATGACAGCTTAAATGTTTTTATTTTATTTTGAAGTGACATAAAAGAGACTTGTATCAAATGAGAAATGCATACAGGAGTAGCAAAATAGCCCACATATTTTTGCACAAATGTAAATGTTTTTGTGTTTTGGAAAACAGTCCCTCAGCGACACTGGCTGACTTCCTTCTCATGAAAGAGTTTGGTTGTTCTACTTTTACCATACATTGTGCAGAAAACCATACTGTTGTCCTCAAAGAGTCAAACCCAAGGAAATTTAAAACAGTCAGACTTGATATGACGATTCGTCTTCTGTTTCGCTGTGTCACAGTCACTTGTCCTGCTTTTTTTTTTTCTCGACGCGAAGGGATTCAAAGTTGTTTTGCGCGACTGAAGAATTATGACGTTGGTTTTTGGTGCAAAATCCAACAGACTCCAAAGGAGCTAGCTTACTAACCCCCGGCGACTCCGCTGCCAACCCGCCGTCGGCATATGTAAACATTGCATAATTTTTTTTTGTAAATTTTATTTGGCAAGCCATGTTGTGTTCCTGAAACAAATTATATGCGGACCTAGCCGCCAAGAAAATTGTGGAATTATTTGTACTTTGTGCTGTCGCCATGGTTTGTGATGCGGGCTTTAAGGGGACAATGTTGACAGACGAATTGTCTTATCGCCAGAGTGGCGAATATTGCATATATTAACCATGCCACTTCAGATTTCAACCTTTTTGGGGATGTGGTGAACGAGCAGCGCGAACCCTGTATCCATTTTCTGGAATTGCTTATCCTTAATATTGATATACTTTTAATCGTCGAGGCTATGCCTCCCGGCTGACGAACAGACCATTTCCTGTTTAGCTGTGTGTGTGTGTGTGTGTGTGTGTGTGTGTGTGTGTGTGTGTGTGTGTGTGTGTGTGTGTGTGTGTGTGTGGCATTATTTTGTATAAATTTTCTCTGCAGACGCCTATTGAATTGCTTCCTATTTTGCTGATCAAAGTTGGATACGGTCTGGGATAGGCTCCAGCAACCCCAAGTGACCCTGTTCAGAAGAAGCAGTGTTTTAAAATGAATGGATAGTTCCTTAAAGAATGACGAGCGCACACTTTGGTAGTGAAAAGTTTCTTCATAGTAAGCTATTTGTGACAGTTTCACAGCAATGCATGGTGATACGTCTCTATAGTTGGCAAAACTCCGTAGTTTGACGAGGCCAATGGATATGTTTTACATGACGCAAAAGTTGACTTCCTGACGCATTTCTTTTTTTTTTTCTATGTTCATGTTATTTTCAGATTAATATTAGAGAAGGAAGGACCCCGCTCACTCTTCAGAGGCTTGGGACCAAACCTGGTGGGTGTGGCACCGTCCAGGTCAGTTGATAACAATGTATCTTTTTTTTTCCTCACATGAGCAGCGAGGGGTGGGAACTTTGAGCCAGTGATTATCGATGAGATTAGCACTCTTGACTCCACGCTTATGTTTTGTTTTCCTCCCTACCAAAGCAGTGGCTTGAGACACGAGTTTAATTGCTTGCAGAAGCCAGTCTTTACAGCGGGGCATGTTCTGCCAATAACTCCATTGGGATTCATCTGAACTTACTTTCATTGGGCTGAACAGTAGTTGTTATCTTATGGCTTTTTTTTTTGTCTGGAGTGTGCTACACCAACAAACAGCGAGTCAAGTTTAGCGGTAAAAGGTGCGAAGGTCTCATTGAGTATCACCGGCGACAGTTTACTTTTGTACTTAAGCCGACTTGCCACCCGATGTTAGACCTAGCTGGTTCAGTAGATTAAAGTTATGTGCGCAAGTAGGTAGTTTCACTTGAGTAAACGGATGCAATGGTATTGGATCTGCGCCAGGTGAAAATAGATGTTAACAGGTATGACAATATGAGTAAGAATTTGGGCACTTATACCTGCAGGGTAAATTGAGGCATATTTGTCAATGCGTTATGCATCTGTTGGAGGCACATTCTTGGATGAGACTAAGACAGTTTACATAATATAATGGCATAAAACAAATTGTTTGACTTGCTCATGATCTCAGATGTACTTACCCTTTTTGTTTTGTGTCAACAGAGCCATCTACTTCGCTGCTTACTCCACAGCCAAAGAGAAATTGAACAATGTGCTGGAACCTGACTCCACACAGGTTCACATGGTATCAGCTGGAATGGCAGGTACATGCGTAGCTCCCTTATTCCATCCTTTTCATGTACTTCAACCCAGCGACCTTTTCTAGACTTCTGTAAATGCATGAAAAATGAACCATGTTGTACCGTGTGAGTTAGGTCAGAAAACTAGTCAAGATTAGGCGCACGGAGTTGCCAAATGTTACGGGTTGTCCATATTTTGGGACGGAAATCAATGAGTGCTTACTTGTTACAGTGAAACTCCTCTACAATGAAACCTACATGGGCGAAAATACGCCCCAGTGTGTAAAAATATTCATGCATGAAAGTCATTCCCACTTTTCTGCTCCCCCAATAACGAAAAGTCCCCCTGTTGCGTAATATTAAATATTTTTCTCTGCCCTTGCCTCGCAACGAGGTTCACTACAACGAAAACAAGCCTTCCGCTAAAGTCTAATCCGACCTCAGCCTGCCACAGCTACTCCTACTGCTTCGCTCCGAAATGGCAACAGCAACCACCACACTGGTTTACACATGGGCAGTAGTACAGGAAGTATTTATTATTGTTAGTTTCAGACGCAGCACGAACGTTGCAGTGCTAAAATGTCTGCAAAACGGACCTTTGCAGACCAAGGAGTGAAGAAAAGAAAAGCTTTAACGCTTGAAGACAGGATAAAAGTAATAAAATGAAAGCTGGAGGAAGCAAAGTAAAATACATTATGCAAGAAATTGAAGTGAAAGTGAATGCTGATTGTAAATTTCACAATTTCTTTCCGTTTTTTTTTTTTTTTTTTCTACACTGGTTATATGAAGTGTCAAATAAGTGTATGCTCATACTTATGCACTATTGGAATAGTACACATATACGTTTTGTGTGTGTGTATGTGTTTACATCTGAGATAAAATTTGCTGTAGTGAAAAGTCCCCTGCTGTGAAAAATTTCTTGCTGCAAACATGATTTCGTTGTAGAGGAGTTTCACTGTAGTTGAAACACTGATTGTCACGAATGCTGTATTTAATTTGCTCATCTGCTTTATCCTGTACATCTGTAAGCTGTCTCAGATGCACTGTCTCCAGTGAGATTGTCAAAAGGCCACAAAGTCATTTACGGTTCACCAAAGATGACGATAGCCTGTTTATTCGGTTTTGTTTATGTTTACATTCATCCTATATTTGGATGAATAAAAAGTGAGTGTACAGTATTTAAAATGTGTTCAAAGATATCAACCACATTCTTTTTTCCGGCTTCAAATCGTTAAATCACGTTTTGGGGGTTTGGTGTCATGACACTATTCATGTAGTGCGTAGGTGTGGTATTCCTGCAGCCTTTCATGTTATTAATTAAATGACCTCTTACATTATTCTAACTAACATTGTATAGCATCATATTGTGTGAAATGTTGCCGATCTATTGCAGCCTGGTCATCCTGGAGGGGCGATTCTGCCATGTACAGCCCCTTCTCAAGGTTTCTCATGTTTGCCCCGATGTATAGCTTTTTTTTTCCCTTGCCCTTCTCGGGGTTAAGATCAGGGGATCTCATTAATATTTGTCAACTGTGGGCATGTGAAGCCATCAGACTTTTTTGTCATTAGGGATTGTATAAATACATTTGACTTGATGGCTGTAAAACAAATGAGCCAAAAAGAATGAAGTAAAAATAAATGTCCAGTATTTTACAAGTCATAAAGTATAAATATTACCAACAGTAAACAATGAAAATTAGAAAATGCAAACTGCCAAAGAATGATATTTGCAATGACCTGCACAAGGTATGAAGTTAAACAGTCTTATGTAATAATAACAAGAGAGCGAAGATAAATATTGTATTTGTATTTTTGTTTGTTCCCTGTGCAGTTGCTGGAAAAGGAAAAGCAGGAAAAGCCTGGTGGCCTGCCAGGCCTGTAAAGTACTGTGGGAAACAAGTGATGAGTTTGTCTCTTGAAATGTTTCTCCAACAGTCTTGAAGGAGCTGGTGGTGGTGCTGAGCACTTGTTGGCTGCTTTGCCTTCATTCTGCGGTCCAACTCATCCCAAGTCAATTCACTTGGGCTTTGCTCAGGCGATTGCGGAGGCCATGCCCTCAGACAAAGCATTCCATCACCCTCTTTCTTGGTCAAATAGCTCCGATGTAGCCTGAAGGTGTGTTTAGCGTTGTTGTCCCGTTCAAAGACAAATGATGGACTCGCAAAGTGCAAAGCAGATGGGATGGCATGTTGCTGCAGAATGCTGTGGTAGCAATGCTGGCTCGAAACTTCAGATGAATAGAAACTTGCACTTTCAGCATGACCATTGACCCAAAGCGCGCATCCAGTTCTTCCAAAGAATGGCATCATGTCCAGTCAAAAAACAGACTTCAATCCAATCAAACAAGACTGAGCAAATATTGAGACGTTAAAATATGCTGAACTCATAGACCTCTGCCCAAAAAGACAACAACAACAACGCTGCAATAATTTATTAGTTTAAAGTTTATGAGTATGTGTATTTACACAGATGTCACCGTGATGCAGTGTTTTGAACACAAATACCCCCACTCGGTTTCTAATTTAGAAGCAATAGTAAGAGATTGCTAAGTGCAAATACTCATTTGAAAGATTGTAACGCTGTGTGGATAGATATGCAGTTGCCTGTGCACTTTGTCTTACTAAGTTGAAGTTTGGCAGGGTGTGATGAAAAGTACGGTATGTGCTGTGCTGCATTCAGCAGGTACCATGGCTGAGCAGCTGCAATAAAATAGTGTCGCTTTTTGTGTTGGGTTTGAGTTAGGGGAAGAGTTTTGCACGACAATCGAAGCCGTCCTTTGGCGACCCTCATTGTCATGTTGTCATGAACTGTTTCTTAGAATTGTGCCTGATACAACAGAACATGTCAAAAGTCCCTTTTCCAATTTTATTTTCGGTGGCACATACTGTATGTCAAGAAGCGTTTATCTAGCCCTGTGCAGCTTTGATCCAGCGGGGAAGGCACATCACCACCAATGTGGGTCATTCATGTTGCCGGAGCTCTCGTCTGAATGTCAAGTGTCAGCGTAAAGCTAAATCTCACAGGTACACGACAGTGTCATTTTTAGCACAGCGTGACTCAGAACGTTGCGGTCAAGGTCAGCATTAGTCACATTGACTTAGTTATTGGGCAACTGCAATGAGAGCCGAGTGGGCTGCAGTAACTGGTGACAGTGAAAGGGTGATGTCCATCCATCATTTTCGATACCACTTGTCCTCTTTAGAGTTGCGGGTGAGCTGGAACCTATGCCAGCTGACTTGGGCCTGAGACAGATTACACCCTGGGCTGGACTGGCTGTCAGTCAATCGCACAAGGGTGATTTTAACAACTGCCGGTATTTATTTTTGCCTGTGAAATGAAGCCAAGTGCCTATCCAGTGGCGCCGCAGCGTCTTTTGTCACGTTTCTGTCAAAGTTTCTTCCTTTGCTAATGCCGGTTTTCACATTTGTTAAAAATTGCTGTCATCATAAAAGTTGTCTTCTGGCAGTTTATTTGGTCACTAGCTGCAAATGAGTCTGATAGCTCCATTATTTCTAAAGCTTCTTTTTTTTTTTTTACTTTTACCTTTCTGTAGGTTTTACAGCCATTACAGCAACCAATCCAATATGGCTTATAAAGACTCGTCTCCAGCTGGATGCCAGGTGAAATGTTAACATATTACTGCTTTTTTTTAATCTGATGCAGAAAAAAAAAACAGTTCGCTTTTCATAAGAAACATCATCGATCACAGAATTCAAAGGGAAGAAAATAAAATGAGCATTTAGAGTACTACTCAACATTAGGGGTGTCCCGATACGGATCTTGCAGCCTCGAGTACTGTACGATATCAACAGGAATGATACATCCTTGTATTTATTATTAGTATTACATTTTCGAAAAGACTTGATCAAGTGAAGATACTCAAAACCAACAACAGCAGTCAGCAACAGTATAGCTGTGAGGAAACATGACCCATTTATTCCAAAGATTTTGTCACATAAATTCAACCTCACACATGAGAATGTACTTAATTGCAATAAAATTAATGCAAAATAAATTTAAGGACCATGAGAAATAACTGTAAATAAGTCAATAAAAACAATTAATACTTGGAGCATAAAAAAATAACAATTCAAGTTTAATTTACAACATTCAGAATCAATTTTTGCATTTTGTATAACGTGGGAACAACAGAAGGCAGGACAAAAAAAAAAACAATATTGGAGATTTAGGATGTAGACCAGAAGTCTCTGTAATCTAATACTGTTTTTTTTGTTTTTGTTTTTTTCCTTCTGATATCGGATCAATATCAATATCGGATTGGGACACCCCTACTCAACATATACCCTGTAAATGAGTACACACCCTTTTTGAAAGTTTTTTTTTTTTTGTCGAAATACATTTTGCACAGAACTCACACAACACTTTCAAAGTATTAAAATTTGACTCACCTGTCGTTAAACCCTTGGAAATTTTTCATTTTAACTTTGAAAATTTGGCATAGCTAGATGGTCAATATGCACTCATTTTTACACCATTGAGGAAAAAGTAATATATATGTGTATTGCAGTCAAATGCGCCAGATTAGTGTGAGAATTTTTCGTATAGGAAGTGATGTAGAGTATTTTTTGTAAAACTATAGTCAAACTAACAAATCTTTCATACTTATTTAAGTTCAGCACTGTATGAGAACTTGCGATAACCATGATGGCTAAAGAGAGAGAGAGAGAGATTACCTATTTTTTTTTTCTTTTTGATTTTTTTTCCAGAAATCGAGGGGAGCGTCGGATGAGTGCATTTGAATGTGTGCGGCGGGTGTATCAGTCGGATGGCCTCCGAGGCTTTTACAGGGGCATGTCAGCGTCTTATGCCGGCATCTCAGAGACTGTGATCCACTTTGTTATCTATGAAAACATCAAACGGCGGCTCCTGGAGGCCAAAGCCCCCCAGAACGTGGACGATCAAGAGGAGGTATCCAAGGACGCTTCAGACTTTGTGGGGATGATGCTTGCCGCCGCCACTTCCAAGACATGTGCCACATCCATTGCTTATCCTCATGGTGAGAGCGGGAGTTCATATTCCAACAATATGACTCCGCTTATTTGTCTGTGAATTTTCTTTCATCTCTCTTCTGTGCTTCTACATTTGCAGAAGTGATCCGCACACGGCTACGTGAGGAGGGCAGCAAATATCGCTCCTTCTTCCAGACTTTAACAACAGTTCCCAAAGAGGAGGGATTTCGCGCGCTGTACCGCGGCCTCACCACCCACTTGGTACGACAGATCCCCAACACCGCCATCATGATGTGCACCTACGAGATGGTGGTCTACATCCTGAACGGTTAACGTGTTCGCTCCTTTACTAGAACTCATCCTTGTATTCCAGCCATTGTTCAGTGTTGAAAAGACGGGGGAAAAAAAAACCCACAAAAAAAAAAGCAAAAAAAAAGCAAGACCTACTGATAAGCTGCAACAAAGGCTCATGAGATGACTGAGGCAGCATCGCGACAGTGTCTTAGTGATGATTTTACGTGGCATGTTTTCTTTGATCACTAAAGGCACAAGGAAGTTTGAATGATACCAATGGTGATTTTTGGGGGTCTTACAATTCTAACCAGCCCTCCCTCATCCATGACTATTGATACTACTCCCACTGCCACAGTACTAATTTTGAAAATTGTAGTTGCACTTCGAAGTAATACTGCTTACTGACTGACATTTTCATGTCCAGATCGCCGATCTATTCTTTGTGCCGTCAAATTCAAAATGAAGCAATTTGGAGTAACGTGTAGTTGGAGAGGAATGTGCCTTGGGTAAAGCGACACGACGTAAATTAGGATGCACATGTGCTTGTAGTTCAGATTGTGAAATAATTTCATTGCACACAGGTATTGTGAAGGTTCGGGCCCTTTAGGAAACTTTGGTTTCGTTGTGAATATACATGAGCGTCGACTTGGGTTTTGCAACCACCTGATCCCTCTTTCTCCTGCTCTTCATGCATTTCGAACTCTCTCATCCGTACATAAAAGCAGAATGAAACTCGCTCATTATGCTTGAATTAGAGTACATAACTAATAATATCCATCGCTATCCTGTGTGTTTGAACCACCAAATGAAACCACATCACTTGGCCTGCTTTGTATTTGCTGGAATGTAAATATGCAGGTTTAAGGAAGTGAAACACTGGCCCTGGTTTTTAAAAATAAATATTCATGAATTAACTAGTTTTAACAAATTGCAATGTTGATACGGCTGAAATAATATAAAGCAATTTGTTTGACTGGTAAGGTAAATGAAACTGTCATTCATCTTTATTGGAGAGAGAGCATTTGCTCCCTTGTGAAAATTTGATTTCCCTACCTATATTCATGATGTCTCGCAATGTTTGTTTTTTTTTCTTTTTCTTGGATTTGCGTTCGCTTTTTCCTCATTTTGAAAATCCAAACTCGTTGAGGACAATCCTGTCAGTTTTCGCCTGGAAATTTGAGGGTCAGTTAGTGTAGATGAGTTACAAAGTAATATAACTGTCTTAAGCGCACAATAATAAATACACATTATAATTGTTGAGCTGTCGTTTTATACATTCTACTTATGTGAAGTCCATTGCTGATTATATATACTGTGTGTGTGTGTGTGTATGTATGTATGTATGTGTGTGTGTGTGTGTGTATATATATATATAATCTCAAACAATATTTCTCACCTGTTAACAAAGATTTACTGTTGCCGTGTCAACTTTTGTCACCAGCTGTAGCCCTTGGCCTAAATTCACAATGAACACAACCAGTAAATTGAATTGTCCATTTTTGCTGTGATTGGTCACCTTCATTGACCCATTCTAATGAGCTAACCTCAGTGAAAGGGCAATATTGGCCTCCTCCTTGAAAGCATTTTGACAGGCACAAGGCAGTTGGGTGAGCGTGCTCAAAGCTGGTCAGTCAGACTAGACGATCTAATGTACGCAGGTTGGCTGAGTTAATTTTAACAAACCTTGAAAATGGTGGTTGGCTCACCCGCGTCCCCCCCCAAAAAAATGATGTTGAAAGCTGTCTGAAATTGACAAGTCAAAGTGATATGCATTACCCAGTGCCACAAAGAATATAATCCTTTATCTTTCAAAGAAATTAACCAGAACTGGAAATATATTAATACGAGTATGCATCTTTTTCAACTATATTGTACAATATTGTGTCTGCCTGCTGTTCATGTAGTCTCCCATTCATTCAGTGGTCATTGTTTTGCACCCATGTTTGCATCGTGCGCTTGTGAATGTATGCATTGTGTGTGCTTGCCTAAATGACAGTCTGATGTGATTCAGTCGTGTCCTGAGCGCAAGAGACGAGGAATTATGTATGCACTCGAAATGCAGGTTTTTATCTTTTTAAATAAATGGTTGCCTTTTTCCTGCTGCCCCTTTTCCATGTTGTCGTTGATGAGCAAACTGAAAGTGTGGCCCTGTCTATGCATTTTCATAACTTGTTTTGTTGAACAAGTGAGTCATTAATTAAACTGGAAAGAGTGCAAATACAATCGTGGCCATGTTTTCACGGGGTCTAGTTTTGTAATGCGGCCTTTAGCCAGCAGGCGGTAGTAGTTGTCCAGTCTTGCTGCCTTTCGGATGTCTTTTCTCACTATGTCTAAGTCTTACACCAGTGGTTCTGAACCTTGTTAGAGGTACCGAACCCAACCACTTCATATGCGCATCCACCGAACCCTTCGTGAAAAATAAAAATATGTTTCAAGAAGTGTTCCTTCAGTTTTGCCGGTCCGAGATGAGAGTTGCTCAACTTGGCATGACAAATTATGCAGATCATGAAAGGGAGAAGTAGAAGAACAAAAAGTATATGAGTAAATATAAATTATGAAATATAAATATAAGCATATTCAGAATGGGTGAGTGGGGGTGAGTCCAGGTATTCAGGTCAGGTCTGTCCATTCAATAGCCTGACAGCAGTCGGCAGGAACGAGCAGCGGTACCTCTCCTTCTTGAAGTACTCAACTCAACTGTACTGTATACTGTAGTCAAAAATGTTTTTCCAAGAACATGTTCTATGCCGCCCACGAGTTTAAACACGGCATTTTGATTAATATTGCATTTGTGGGACTGAAACTGACATCACAGTTCCTGTGATTGGTCATTACCTGAGCCTGTTTCAGTCAACAGCATCCATCCATCAATCCATATTTTGATCCGCTTTATCCTCACAAGGGTTGCGGGGCGTGCTGGAGACTATCCCAGCTGTCGTCGGTGGACACCCTGAATCAGTTGCCAGCCAATCGCAGGGTACACAGAGACGTACAACCATCCACACTCACACCTAGGGACAATTTTGAGTGTTCAATCAGCCTGCCATGCATGTTTTTGGAATGTGGGTGGAAACCGGAGTACCCTGAGAAAACCCACGCAGGCCTGGGGAGAACATGCAAACTCCACACAGGGATGCCGGAGCTGGAATTGAACCCGGTACCTCTGCACTGTGAGGTCAACGTGCTCACCACCGGCCCACCCTCAGTCAACAGCAAATAGCAAAATTCCCGCCCTGAGATGGATAAAAACAGGTGAATTTTGCTCCTTAATTCGTAGTCCACAAACGCAACATTAATCAGAATACTGTACTGTGTTTTCACTAGTGGGGCTGCATAGAACATGTTATTGTAATTAACTTTTTCGACTTAACTTTGAACCTTGAAGATTGTAACTTCACACATTAGTGTGCTCTCAGAGATTAGGTGTGCCATAGGAATTTGTCCAAATACACTTCATTGGTCCAAAACTCAATAACTACAAACATGTAACCTTATTGGTGTTCATCTATCAATGCCAGCAACTTATTTACATAACTATTAAATTGCCGTTCCACTAGATGGTGATTGAACTATTCACATTTAATGGCATTTTAGTTCCAGATTCACTCTAAAGTGAGGAGACTAATAATGCGGTCTCCACCCTGTATCAAATGTTCGTCTCTTTGTTGGACTCAAACAGGAAGTTACTTAACACACAGTACGTGCAAAACAAGTTCCGCGGTGAAGGCGAAAACATCTAACGCAATGACTGTGATAAAATAGCGTTGAGTGGAGAAGATCATAACGCCAAATGAACGGTCAACGTCGAAAACATCGCGAGAGGACAACGCGTGATTACTTGACACAAGTCACCTTTTCGGGATCCCCAACCTGCAGCCAATCAGCGACAACGAAACACACATGGACTCCTGCACGGTGATAGTCAAGGGGAACAAAGAAGGCTGATTGATTACTTTGCATGGTCTGCCTGATTAGCTTTACGTTATCAAGCACGTTTTACGTTTGTTTTTTGAACTGTAGTTCTGAGGCGTGTTGGGATTTTTTTTTAGCAGCCGAGAAACTCATTGGTTTGATACGACTTCTGCAAGCTGCTTAGTTTGTTGGAGCCTCGGAGGACAGCGTCCACTCATGGTATGTTTAAAAACTCTGGACTTTCCACGACTCCATCTTGTGTCAAAAACTATACAATATTTTTGTGCGCATAACGCTGTTTTCTCCAAACGTACTAATTGGTTGGGTTTACGAACGCTGTTCTCGGCGCGGTCGAAGCTGTTTCCAAAATCGATCTTATGTTTTTAGTGCTTGCTTTCTTTGTCTTTGAAAGCACACAAAACCATAACAACAAATGTGAACAAGTTATATATAGATGCTCACATGCTTACCTTGTGTTATATTAAACGTAGTAGTTATTTTTGCCTCGCCCGGCAACTCGCCACCCATGAATCGCATGGAGAACTACAAGTGAAAATTTAGTGCCAAGTCGGGGATTCGTGGGTGGATCGGTCGACCCGAAGATGCCGCTATTCCTTCGCGTTGTGGGTTCGAATCCTGCTCTAGAACTTTTTATTACAGTAATTACTTTCATACTTACTTGCTTCTTATGTTTACAATTTATTCCAGCCCTCTAGAGTTGTAAAGGAGCAGTTTCATTTCGCGTATTTATTGAAGCATTGAACAGTAATGCATTTGGAACAATTTCGATGCAGTTTGTAAAACAAAAATAATTGGCCAATTTATTAGGCCCCACAAAAAAAAAGGTTAGGGTAAGGATGAATAGGCATGTTAACAGTAAAAAGAGGTAAAAATAATATTAAAGAATTGGGGATTAGAATTAAAAGTTGAAGAGTTTAACCTATAATGTTATAGGAGTCCGTAGTCCTGTTTTAAAAAAGAAATAAAAAGGTCAGATTGGCAATGCTCACACACTCCAATTCAGTTTTATATACCAGGCTAAACATTGAACGGGGTCAAATTTGCCTCAAATAAAAGGAACTATGTGTGTATATATATATATATATATATATTTATTTCAAATGCCTCTTTCACACTAGGGATGTAACAATATCCAAACGTCACGATACAATATTACCTCAAGCTGAACCTCATGATATGATAATTCACCGTATTGTGGAGAGCAAAGTCACAATATTCTACAGGGGGTGTGGGGGGAAGCACAATATTGTCTTTGTACATAATAACAGAAATGACAAACAAATTGGCCAGTCATTTCGTTGTCATGTGCTCCTATTGGCTCAGCGGCGCAAAGTATCATGGTCTCTGTAGATCACTGTGCAAATACAAATAAAATGCACTGCGAATTAGCTGAGGTCATATTTGTGTGTGTGTGTGTGTGTGTGTGTGTGTGTGTGTGTGTGTGTGTGTGTATATATATATATATATATATATATATGTATATGTAAAAGTAAAGGTTACATTAACCTCAATGTTCATAAATGACCTAGAATCACCAATAACCCTTAGTATTGTTACACTTGCTGAAACACACACACGTAAATAAAGTCCATTTGTGGCGCAACTCAAACATGTTCAAAAGGTTCTGTCATCTGGCGACTAGGGTGGGTCTGAAACGTAAGTGACCAAGACCCCCACCGAAGACTCACTGTCCATGTCCTTTTGTTGAAGGCTGTTGCGCTGACATTGCTGCACATCTAATTGCCTCATTGACTTTGTGCGCCCGAGCCGCATTGTCTTTGTAAACGTGTACTTTGGAAATAACAGAGGTGTACGTTGTGTGAGTTCTGCCTGAAAGGGCCAGGAAAATAAATCCTGACTCTGTTACGCATCTGATGCGCCGCCAATTTCGAAGCTGCTATGGAGAAGCTGCTTGTATACTCTTTAGAACCAGTGTGCTCCTCTGTAAGCCCTCCTCTTTACACTTCCTCCTTGCCGAGCTCCTTCCAGCAGCTGTTTGCTTGTTCACCGGGAAGCCAGATTGTTTTGCTCCATTCATGCGTCACAAGCTGGATGTTAGTGACTCATGACACACACACACACACACACGTACATACTCTTTGCTGTCTACGTCGTATCCCGCAATCATCTTGCTGCTGACTGTTTACTGACCTCCCTCTGGACTGAGGACTTTATTTCCACTCTTTCAGTTGGCCACTCTCATTATGTGTTCTCATTTTTGTGTGAGAGACTCCTGGATGCTCGGTGAAATGCTTTCATGGTAAGCTGTCGTTTCACAGTCCACTCGTAACTTTTTTTTTCCCTCCCCTTCATGCTTTCTGTCTTCCATCATTTTCTCAGGGTTCCCATTCCTTTGTTGATTTAAATATTGGTGGACTTGTGCCTTCAGCTTTTCCTGTGTGCTTCAGTGTTCCCAAACTCTTTTGGAGTCATCACCTATTGAATTATTCAATTATAGTGAATATTATAACACAAAAATTCTGGAAGGAATTTTAACATGACAATTTTTTTTATTTCGTAATTGAAAATCCTTTGTTGGTCCCCCAGGGCTGAGAACTCTTCAGTGTGTTTCTCCAAAAAATGCTATTTATCTATGAGCTAATTTGATTGAAAAGCTGCATTCTTTGTGAGTATTCTATGATAGACAATGTCGAATTTGGTGATGCACATTTGTCGTTTTTATGTGAGTGGGTAAATGAGACAATTTAAAAGTGCTTACCCGGAATTCAAAAAAATAATTCAGCATACATTTTTTTCTTTTTTTATTGATGGCAAATGATCAATTCAGTGTGTGAGATTATGCTGTCTCTTTCAGGAGTCACATTCTACATGGTAGAAAAAAAGAGTGTTCAACTACATCTCTGCGAATGAGTTAACGTCAGGATTCCCCACTTATTTCTTTGGATCCTTCGTGCCTTCATCTCCCTCCCCTTTTTTCCCTTTCCCTTGAAACCACCTAACTATGGGCCAGAAGATTGCGCTGAGCATTAAGTCATTGGATCTGCGTGGGGAGCCTTCATCCAGGCTAGTGCAACGAGAAGTGCGAGGTACAGATTTCTGCTGGCCGCGTCGACTGGATTTATTGCTGGACATGCCCCCAGCCAGTCCTGAGACTCAGCTACACCACGCCTGGAATCCTGATGATCGGTCCCTCAACATCTTTGTTAAAGAAGATGAGAAGCTGACGTTCCACCGACACCCGGTTGCACAGAGCACAGACTGTATCCGAGGAAAAGTGGGCTACTCTCGGGGCCTCCACGTTTGGAGGATTCACTGGCCAGCAAGGCAGAGAGGCACCCATGCCGTTGTAGGAGTCGCCACAATTGAAGCACCTTTACACTCAGTGGGTTACACTGCTTTAGTGGGATCAGATTCCGAGTCCTGGGGCTGGGACCTGGGTCGAAACAGACTATACCACGATGGAAACAATCATCTCGTTTCTTCGACAACACCCATGTACCCCTGCTTCCTTGAGCCAGATGAGTCTTTTGTGCTCCCGGACTCCCTGGCGGTCATACTTGACATGGATGAGGGCTCATTGAGCTTCATGGTAGACGGACAGTATCTGGGAGTTGCGTTTCGAGGCTTAAAAGGCAAGAAGCTGTATCCTATCGTCAGTGCTGTATGGGGACACTGTGAAGTGACGATCCGCTACGTCAACGGACTAGATCGTAAGTTCGTCTCTGACACAAAAGAGCTATTAAGGCAGCGATATACACGAGGGGTAGTCAACATAGAGTTCATATTTTATTTCCAGAAATTTCAGCAGTGTGTAATTAAAATACTCAATTATTGGTGGTTCGCCTTCCAAAGCAAGGAAATATTTGTTTGCTTCTGTTAGACATGAAATGACATCATTTCCAACATGGCTGACAGAAAGCGGATACATTCCAAGAAAAAAGGAAAAAAAATATATATGTATATATGTGTATATATATATATGTATATATGTGTGTATATATATATATATATATATATATATTTTTTTTTTTTTAACAGTTTTTCAGTGAGTATTTTACTGTTGACATTTCATGTAAATTGTAAATTGAACAGGGCTCATTACTTGTGAATACCCCTCATGTTTTAAAGCTGGTTGCCATTGGATTGTTTGGGCCTTGTCATTTAACTTTCATAAAACATTTTTTGTTTTTCAATGAGTACAAATTGATCACCATTCAATAGCTTAAACATATTATTGGGATTGTCCTCATACTGTTTGTTTGTTTTTTTTTCCCCCCTCTACAACTTGTATCAACTTTGCTTCGACATCATGGGCCTTCCTTGCATGTACGTAAATTAGTGTTTCTTGGACTTTATAACCCATACTTTTTTATTTTTTTAACCAAAATGGTCTGTAAGCACTTTTGCTATCAGCTGGCACAGCTATGCTTCACTTTTGGTTCTAATAGTGGCTCCAACAGCAAACCTTTTTAACATAAATATGTAAATGTCAGTTTATCAATGCCCTTATCTTGTTACTTCTTTTCTGGCTTCTCACTGTGGCATACATGGGAAGATTAGCCATTTTTATGCCGGAGAGGAGATGAAAATACTCAGGTTGGTTCAGTGCTTAATTGCAGCTTGAAGACAAAACGGAAAATTAGTCCCAAAGCGTGAATATTTCAGAAAAATAATGCATGGTCTCTTTGTTGGCTAGCTAATGTTGTTGAATTATTATATTTTTCCCGCTGCCTATCATTCCTTTCACTCATTGGATACATCTTCAATTGGAAGCGCAATCAGAAGAGTTTTCCCGCAGCTGGACAATAAGATGAAAATAGTCCAGGCTGGTGGTGGTTGCAATTTTTTATTCGCACAGCAAAACATTTAGTTAAGACTGCACACAGTAATGTGAAATACCGGGAGTAGAACGATGAAATCATCAGTGTCAAAATGGAAACCACTATTTGAAACTTTTCATTAATGAACGAAAAGGGTGGAGGAGAGCATTGAGAAATAATCGTCATACTGTTTTATTCTAATTTAAAGATGGTTTTCTTAAGGCGTTGCCACACAAAAACGTTCCCTCAGAAGCCATTTTGTCCAACACAAAAATCTCCAGAACCCAATGTCCAATTTTCAAAATTCTTTGTGCATTGTACTTGAGTTGAATTGGCCATTACAACTAGACCCTGCATTTTTGGACAGACTGTCATTTTTGGGAACTTTCCACATTGCTATTCTCTCAACATGTACTCGGTGACTGGGCATATTAATGCCCATGAGAGGATGGAGAATGATGTCATTCACGCAGTGAAAAGTTCTGTCAGCCATGCATGTCTTTTATTTCCTCCCCCTACACATTGAACAGCATTTACTGGTACACAAACAAGTTTAATTATGAGTGTTTAATCCCCAAAACTCTGGCCGATTCTTTTGAAAAGACTCAACATCAGCCAATAGAATCAGTCGGCCAGTTAATCACTCGGGCCCTAATATATACAATGAAAATGACGACACAGTTTATTTTGTTGGTAAAGTTCCGAGAACTGGATCTTTTAACGTTTCTCTTTTACAGCGGAACCCCTCCCCCTCATGGATCTATGCAGAAGAGAAGCTCGCCTGGCTCTGGGCCGGGAGCGCATCCATCACATTGACTCGCTCCCGCTGCCTCAGATTCTTAAGAACTACCTCCAGTACCAGTGATAGTGCGCACGCACTCACTCAGAGGTGGGAGGTACACCTGTTCTTGTCACCGCGACCTTCCAAACTGAACTTGATTGAAACACAAGATAGCTGCTGAATATGACAACAAGGACGTTGGCTGTGACTCCAAGTTGATAAAGAGTGTGAAAGGGTGTTTATTCTGGCTTGCAGTAACAGCGTGGATACATATTCTAATCACTCTTCCCTATATGCCATGTGGTTCTCGCATCTTAATCGCCAGAAACCTCCATCAAGAGGGCGAATGTGACATCCTTTCTCCTCAATTGATGATTTGACGGTCTTTGACTTTGTGGCTGCTTTTGAGACATTACTTTAGAAACGCACAAAAAAGCACCTTACATTTCTTTTTGACATTTTATTTAAGTGTTACCTTCAGAGTTTTACATGGTGCTTTTTTTAAAAATCCCCAAATTGCTTTTTAAAAAAAATAGCATTGTAATTTTTTTTTTTTTTTTTAACATAATTTGGTTTGTCTAAAGGACATGTTTCTCACAGGAATCGGGAAAACTTTTAAGCATCTTTTAAATGTGAAAAATAAACTTGGCTAAACTCACACCTGCTCGCAATGTGTGCTCTCTCAATGTCATGACGCACTTTTGCACAACCACATGATTCTAGTTGAGCCAATCCACCTATCTGAGTGTCCGCACTCCTGCTGACACAAGGCTTGCATTCATCTCTGTTCGCTAAACATACCGTTGGACATTGGTGGTGTATACAGTACAATACCTCTGACCGGAAGGACTTAAAGAACGTCATAATCAGGCTTGAACATAATTGTTGAGAAAATATATTTTTTGGGGGGGGCGGCGTGAAAGGATGATTTGTATTTTTTTTTTAATAAACATTTGGTTTGATTTTATCATGTCAGCCTATGTTAGTTTTTGCAGTTCCTGAGATACTTGAGTCATCTTAGGACAGTATTACATACTACTTGTCGTTCTTTGTGGTTATACTGTATTTTCAAAGGAAAAGTGTTCAAGTTGTCCAATGCTCATCGAGGCCCTGCTTTTCTTTGCATCAAGCGTTTGCAAGAAATGACGGTGTTGCTCTCTTTATCTTGATCAGCACTGACTGCAAACAGTGCAGCCATTTTAGATTTAGTCTTTTGGGTAAAAATGCTGATTAGTTTTCGTCACATTCTAGTCATTCCTATTCGTGATGGTTTTAGTCACCGAAAACTCAGTGGTGGTTTGTCTGTGCCTCGATTGTGTCCGGCAACTCATGTCCACCTCTCACCTAAAAGTCAGCTGGGATAGACTCACCAAGCGAACTTAATGATGCCGAGCAATATCCAAAGCAGATGGATGGGACTTTAATGACTAATAGAAAAACCTCAACATGCAAATGACGGCTAGATTCCAAAACAAGGTTTTATTGGTCAATTTACAGAAAGTGCTGTTGTGACTGACCATTCCAAAGCAAAACAGACAAAAGAGTCCAGAAAATTAAATAAATTAATTCAAACAACATTTTACACAATATACAAGGCTTGTTAACTGCATTGTCCTCCGATTCTAAAACACACATCAGGTCAACATTGGGACTTGATGAAAAACCCACCAAAAGGTTTCAGGAGATGAGTAAAGGAAGTGAAAGGGATGGCCTGGCAAGACTTATGGATATGGTCAACTTTTAAACATTAAACAACATATTTTACATGAACATATAGTAGTGCGACAGCATACACATACTCCATGTTGAGGCAGGGGGTGGGCGGCGGCATTCTTTTAACAATGTCGGACATTATCATCAACTTCTTGTGTTGGTGGGTTGCAGCAAAAGGAGAAAAATGCAAAAACCACCCAGCGAAACGGCTTTTTAAATGTTTTATAGTATTGAACGTGCCACTGTCATATTTATCCCAGATTTGTTTTGAACTTTCTTTGTGCTCACCTTAAAAGGGCGATCAATAGTTATCCTTAACATTGACCAGACAGAACACGGAGTCCGACAGGCCGATCAATACAATTTGCCTCCTGTTTGTGTATCTTTCCAGTTGATGAGACACAACTTTATCTATCGTTATCCATTGCGTCAATACAGATTAGACTGGATGTGGAAGTGAATCACCAATTGGAAATCCAAAATGTGTATCACTTACGCTCATCAAATATTTGCTCTTTTTTTTTCCCTGTCATGGTTAGTGGACAGATGGGAAAGAAGAAACAAAAAAAACAGTATTGTTTTACTTGTAGTTACGTATCCAATTTTTAGGCATATATCTATTTTTACTTCTATTTTATACATGAATGTCTGTTTTGGGGACGTATCGGGGTAAATCTGTGACCGGCTACTCATTTCCTGCCATCTCATGTGTAAATATTAGCAGGTATGATTCCATCTTTGTGTTAACAGCCGTGTTGCACGCCAAATCTCGCACCACTGTTTGTAGTAACCGTACGGTACTTTGAATGTACAAAAGACAGCGTTATGTGCTGAGTTTTGATTCATGTCGGCGTGCAGGACACACACATGACATCACTGTGCTGCCAAGAGTTGGTATATCTTTTATCCATCGTATTGCCCAGGCGCCATGACGATACACGTTTACACTCATAAGGCTGCTTATTTATATATTTATTTATTTAGAGAAAATATGTACAGCTTGCCTAGTGGACCTAGCGATTCGTTCTCGTATCCATGGATATAGTGACACATCCAAACACTCAAACGAACAAATCCAACTCAACACTGAGCTGAAACAGACATAACGGGACTGCGGTGCCACCGACTACTTCTACACAATCAAGATTCTGAAGTGCTGACATGAAAAATGAGGCAAGATGACATTTGTTGTGTACAAGTGGAGAGGAAAGTCTGTGGGTAAAGTGTGTATGCTTGATGGCAAGGTAAGGGGGGGGGGGTCACTTACTGTATTCTCTATTTACAAGACAGTGTATAAAAATGTACAAGGGTAATTCTCTATCGTCAAAACTCAAATCCCTTGTTGAGTTGAACATGACATCTGGACACCGCGGTGCTCTTTTCCTTATCTTATTTTGTTACTTTTCGAGATCCTTTTAAAATACGCGATTTCAGTAAAATCACCTGACTTTGCCACAAGGGCCGGGATAAAGATGGATACATTACACATTGTATACAAACCCAAATAGAGTAATAATATAAATTTCGGCAACTTGTATATATTGAAGATTATTTTGCATTTTTATTTTTATTTTTGTATCAGAAATCTTTGCAGAATGTGTTTCATCAAGCGCTACTCACTTATGTGACCGCTGTACTGATATGTGAAAGATACTCACTGTTGTCATGAACAGGAAATATATTTTACTGCTCATTTAAATATTTTGTTTAATTTAGATTTCTACCTGCTGTGTGTTTTTAGCTTTATATATACATATATATTTTTTTAAAAACATTTTTTGAGTGTAATCAAATCCAGTAGGGGGAGCTCTTACTTCATTTTTCAATGCCAAAAAGTGTAAATGTCTACCTGATTGTGTTGGTGTGTCAACCTTCAACGTCGTGTTTTATTACAGACATCGAGATCATGTAAATGTTTGTGATTGTGAGTTTCAATAAAATATTGCTGTTTTTTCCCACTTCAGGCGTTTTGTTCCCTGCATCCTGGGTAACTGGACGTCAACTTCTTCCTCGCTGTCATCTGATTCTGCGCTAGTGATGTCATCTTCCTCTTCCTCGTCTTCATCCTCTTCCTCGCTCATCTCCTCCTCGGCGGCCTGGGGATCTTGCAGGTTCTGATAGAATCAGGTACCAAATGACATCCAAGAAGTTGTAAAGGTAACAAGTTATCTTTTCTCTTAAACGCCAATGTAAAAAGCACAACAGATGCACATTTTCATTTCATCTCAATAGCAGCCACATTCCGTCTATTTTGTTCCAAGTTTTACCGGCCGCCATTTTTCCTCTCCTTTGTTTACCTCCATCGGGTTGATGGTTATGGACAGGGGTGAGTCATCCCAAGTCTCGCCTCCCTCTTTGGTCGTCTCAGACAGCTTGACCTCTTGCTTGTGGGTTAGATGGATGCGGTAGATGCCCAACACTATCACCACCACCAGGGTAGCGATGCACATCACAATGGCCACTGTGGCGGCATTCGGCACCCCTGATGACGAGACAGACGGCAAAGACAGTCATTACATCTGGATAGAGTCCATCCTTCCATCTGTTTTCTATCGCTTATCATATTTAGGGTCAATGTTGAGCTGGAGCCTATCCCAGCTGACTATGGACAAAAGGCAGGGTACACCCTGGACTGGTTGCCGGTTGGTCGCTAGGAATGTATTATAAAACAGAGGGCTGTATTTCAGGCATATACAAAGAAGACATCCTGAAGAAAAAAGCGTGAACATCAAGTACTGGACAAGGGGACGGCAGAACGTTAAGCAGACAACAAGGCTGTTACTTCAAGCAATGCCACAACCGTTCATCCATCCTTCCCTTTTCTATACCAGGGATGGGCAACTGGCGGCTTGCACCATATTCTGAGTGACCCCTTGATTAAATAAAAAAATAGAGATATATATTTTTAACGAATCCAACAAATTCTTCCAAAATTACTGCTAAACATTCATCCATCCATTTTCTGGTCCACTTATCCTCACAAGATGGATGCCAGAGTTTATACCAGCTTTCTGCAGGCAGTATGCGGGGTACATCCTGAACTGGCCGCCAGCCAATCGCAGGGCACATTATCTGCAGTCACAGTCACAATTTAAAGTATTCCATTTACCTGCCATGCATGTTTTTGGAATGTGGGAGGAAAGCGGGGAGCCGGAATCCAACCCTGCAGCTCTGCACTGTGAGGTCGGCGTGCTAACCAGTAGACCACTGAGCCATCCCTGACTACATTCAATTGTATGTCTTCCATTAAAAAACAAAACAAAACAAACAAAAACGGAGAAATGGGAAGGAAAATGGCACAAAAAACCCACGGAAAAATAATGGGGCGGGGGGGGGGGGGGAATCTGCATATATGCGAATTTGCGGGTACCAAACTGCAAGAATGCACTGGACTGTAGTTTTACATTGTAATACCACCAGTCTCCACTTGATGACAGAAATGTCATACTCTGGGTCTTATGCTGCCCGATGCTACAATGTAGTAGGCCGAATAAGATAAGATAAGAAAACCTTTATTAGTCTCGCAATGGAGAAATTCCCAATTCACAGCAGCAAAGTTATGAAAGGAAGAAGTAGAACAACAAAATATAGGAGCTGCTGGAAAGGCAGCCACTCTCGCGGCGCCATTTTGAAGTCAAAATAACATTGTTCGTGATACTTCAAATGGTATGGACGCCAAACATTGTAACAGAAAATAAAATAAAAATGAGTGATTTGTCTTTTGTGAAAAACAAAACCAAACCCAAAAAAAATGTACAAAATGAGTAATTGCATTTAATGTTGATTTGCTGTTAAGCATCCTTGAATGGCAATTTTTATACAAGCGAGCCCTTTGTACTGGATTCTCGACCACTTGCAGTCATTTAGAGGGCAAATATTGTGTATAGAGAGACAACTATTCACGCTCACCTTTACTTTGCCATTGAGTGGGAGATGAGCCCAT